AGACAGTGGCATCCTGTCATTTGCAACAAAATGGGTGAAATTAGAACTCACTGTGCTAAATGAAATAAGACAGACATAGAAATGAATGATCTCACATGTGGGATCTAAAATGTCCAGTTCACAAAAGCAGAGTGGAATGGCTGTTACCAGGGTTTGGGGGTGGAGTGAGGGATATGTTGATCAGAGAATAAGATGTTTTAATGTTATGCACAAGAAAGTGATTTGAGAAGATTCAATCAGGGCTCAAGGTCAAGGCCAGTTCAAAACTAAAGGAGAGCTAACTGTTGATGGTGGCATGAGATTGAATTTTTTTGGCCTTTCATATTGTTATCTCAACCTTCTTATCTAGCAACCCCAATCTGGTATAAAGGTCTTCAGGAATTCAACTATAAAGGTCTTCATTTATTCATTTTCCATTGCATGCTTTTCAGTTTGACTTGGTTCCTTGGTATTTTATGAAATTAACTATTATTTCCTTTGCTGTATTTGCTAATTTACTCCCTATTAAAATTTTAGGCTATGATATCCAATGGATCACTAATAGATCATTTCAGAAATTGTGGAAAACAATCATTTTAGAAAACAAGACTTTAATTTAGATATCTAGTAGACTTGAATTGAATTCATGTGTCAAGAATATTTAAATTATCTTTAGTTGTTATTTTCAAATTGTCTCAAGCTTAAAAATAAATCATTACTATTTAAAAATTATAAAAATACATTGGAAGTATTTGTCCTTTTCTACTAGCAGGGGTTAGGTGAGTTATTATAGTTAGGGAGAAACATAATTGGATAAAAATTCATATGTTACCATTTTTTCATTTACTGCACTTATAATCTTTTCTTTGGGGTCATATGTTTAAGAGGAATTAAAATTCTCCTCTTACCGTTTATTTTTTTCAAATACCAAATTTTAGTTAAAAGAAGCTGCTCAAGCTTCTACTAGTTTTATAGCTCTATATGTTGTGTAAAACTTCCAGATACTTTTATATATAGTTATCAGAGATTATTCTGTCAAAAGAAGATAATAATAATATGGATGTATGACATGCATAGTTTCATTCTACTAATCTTAACAAGTACCTATCATGCACAAATTGTTTTCAAGTCATGGTAAGGGAGGTAGGAATCCAAAGATGTCTCAAGCATAGATCCATCCTCAGCAGAGTCTAAAATTGCATATTGATTATTACCTACATGTTGTTTCTCCATCAGACATTATGCCAGAGAAATAGGCCCTGAAACTGAAAGAATTTGTATAGCATTCAGTGTTGTTATTTAGAAATGGCAAAATAATTGCTGGGTGGAGAGCAGGAAGGGAAAGTCTGAAGCCTGGATGAGCCACTGTGCATGGTTGTCTGAAAAAATAGAGATTTGCTTACATTTAGAACAGGTCTAGGAAAATTAGTAGAGACCTTTAATTTTAAGTTAACAAAGCCACCCAGTGGTTTATTATATAAAAGAGCATAAGCAGCAACTTGTCTGTGGATTGACTGTGCAAGTCTTTAATCAAGTGTGATTTAGATGCTGGGTATTTTTCATTAAGTTCACAAAAGAGGGTCAGTTTTATTGAGGCTCGGGCTAATATCTTATTTATAGTTTTCTTTTTGTCAAAATGAATTTAAGTTTCTTACCTGAAGTACAATGAGACAGCACAAACTGGAACACAAGACCAAGGGAGAAAACGCTAGTGATAGGCCAAAATGATGGTGATTCTCAAACACTGACTAACCCCTACATATTTTCTACGAAACAAATCTAAATTTTCAGGTAAAAGTGGAGACTGATCAGTTATAAAACTCAATGGCCAGAAAGATGAAATAGTTTTTAGAAAAAGTAAAACCCCCCTTGATGCTAAGAGTAGAGAAAATTTTCTCTGGACATTCTCCAAGTGAGATATTGCATAAGTTAATGTGTGTTCTCCATTCTCATAGCAGAAATAATTCTGAATCTTGGAAGATGGTTTAATTGTATCTACACTAACTGGGAAGAATGTGTAGCAACCTCCATTTGAAGGGCTTGTATTACCTAATAAGCATCAAATAAGCCATTGGGTGCAGATTAGTAGTATTGCCGTATTGCACACGAGGCAATGGAGATCTAGTGAAGCTAAGAACTTCCCCAAAGTCAGGCTGTTTAGAAATGGTGGAACTGGGTTCCAAACCTGGATGATCTAGTTCAGCACCCATGGCCTTTTTCCAATAGACTATACTGTCAATTAAATACAATAAGGCTCATTCAATGGAAAGAATAATACTCAGCGCCCCCCACCCCATGTCTGTGGGGAATTGGATAGATGTGTTTTAATGTGATGCCAAAGATGAGGTCAGAGTCACATGTTTTTGAGATGACTTAGGTGACCTTGCTGTCTTCCAGAGGTTATCTCTGACTCTAGGCCCTGTACACTTGTTTACATGCATGTGTGCACATGCCTTTGGCACGAAAAACAAGACAAAAGAGAAACAAATATACAGACAAAAAAGGACCAGGAAATCCATGGCTTCCTGCCTTTAAGAAAGGAGTTGAAAGTCCATGTCCTTTTTATGGCATATCCTTAGATACAAGGTCTAAAATATAGCAATAATGAAATAGATATTTTGCTTGCTATTTTTTAAAAGTGGTGCCTAGAAGCATTTGTGAATGGCATCTAAATTTATTTTTCTTAACCAGTTATGAAAGTTGATTGATAATCAGCAAGACAAGTCTTGGAAGGAATTTAGTAAGAATATGATGGTATCATTGAAACATTTTTAGAAGAGTCAGAATTTATAGCTTGAGGTTTTTTTTTTTTTTTTGAGACAGGGTCTCACGTGCAGTTCAGGCTGGCCTTGAGCCCATTTTATAGCCCAGGCTGGTCTCGAACTCATAACGATCCTCCTGCTTCAGCCTCCCAAGTGCTGGGATTACAGGCTTGTGCCAGTACGCTTGGCTTCTAGTTTGAGTTTTAAATGAAGCATTTAGAATGATCTTTTAAGCTCAGCATTAGGATGTGGTTAATGTCTTTGCTAAGAAAGCTTAAAAGGTATAATTTACAAAAGGACTGTTCTATATACATAAGTCTTCTTAACAACAAATTTCTGTGTCATTTTACAGGAATACTTAGCCTCGCTCAATGAAGACACCAGTGCTCCTACATGATTCAATGTCTATATCAGGACCAACTTGATGACTTACTACACATAGACTTATACACACCTTTTCAGAGTGATAATCTCCCAGTAATTAGCTGAGTTCTTTTTTTTTTAATTTTTTTTTTATTTTAAAGAATAAAAGAAGGATAACATAATAATAAGGGGGACTTAGCAAATTACAGACAAAATGGTAGGAAATTATCAATGGTTATCGTTTTACATATTATTATCTACAAAATAGTTTCTCAGGAAAACAAATAGACAAATAATAGTGAGTTACAGACAAAAGAGGTAGGAGATTATCAAGAGTTGTTGTGCTATACTTTGGTATCTTCAAAGTGGCTTCTAAAGAAAATAAATAGAGCTATACATGAGTGACCTATTGAAAAATCATTAACTATTCTCAATGGTTGTTGTAGGAAACACATAATAATAAACATACATTATGAAATAGGATAGGAACATTACAAACTTAACACAGTTATGGATAGATTAGTAGGAAAATATCAATGGCTGCTGTAATACGTGGTGGTATCTTCAAAGTGGTTTCTCAGGAAGACAGAGAGATGCAAGAAGGTTCTAATAAGTAGTTATAGCCTAAGGGTTGTCAAAAATAGCATATTACCTCCTCACCAGTGACTCCTTTCACTGAGGTATGATGGCTGGAAGGAAGGCCAGGATTGAAAAGAAGGACCGAGAGACTTGCACCTGTGACTAGCAACAGGCTGTTTTCTTGTTCCTCCATAGTCATGATTACCCAGGACTCCTCGATGGAGATGACGGTCTGGCCAGAGGGAGAAGGCAGACCATGCCCCAAGCCCTCTCATTCCTGTTGGAGTAACTGGTAGCATGGGTTTGAGCTCTGGGGCCTCCACCTCAGAGGGCAGACTGATCTCCAGTGGTCTCCTTTGCATCCAGGGCATGGCCCATGGGGCCTCTTAGGGCAGTTCCTCTTGAGGTAGCCTGAATTAGCTGAGTTCTTGAAAGATTCATCCTATCAATGGATTGCCAATAAAATAGAGTCATGCTGAGATATAGTGCAGGAAATATTGGTTAGGGATCAAGACACTTGGAATTCTCAGGTCTATGATATCTGATAAGCACTTGATGTGTCCATTTTCTCATGATCATGGAGCGAGACTCGATTCCTATATCAACTCTGATACCTATTGGCTGGATGATATTGGATTAGTCAACTGAACTCTTCATGCCTCAGTTTTTAGTTTCTTTACCTATAAATTGGCTTACCTGTAAATTAGGCATCTACTATAAAGTAGATGTTAGGTAATATTTTTTCTCACTGTGTACAGGTATTATGCTTTTGTATATTTTCAATCTTTGTTAAGAATCTCCCTTTCTTTCTCTTTTCTTTTCTTTTCTTTCTTTCTTTCTTTCTTTCTTTCTTTCTTTCTTTCTTTCTTTCTTTCTTTCCTTCTTTCCTTCTTTCCTTCTTTCCTTCTTTCTATTTCTTTCTCTCCCTCCCTTCCTTCCTCCCCCCATCTATCTTTGATCATAATGTAGTCTAGGCTGACCTTGCACTCATGATCCCCCTGGGGTTATGGTATTAATTATTGTTACCCATGCGGTCACTGTAACAGGTGAGCTTACTGCAGCTGAGAGACTAGGTAATGTGAAGAGTACAATTGAGATATTTATGTAAAGTACCAGACACCTGGTGCAAAAGAGTTTCTCTGGAAGGGTAGCTAATGCTATTCCTGTCAAGTCTATCTCACCCATTCTCTTTTCTTCTTTTAGTCATGTTTTGAAGATTAATGAGAAGAGAACCACATGGTTAAGCAACATGAGGTTCAGGAGTATGACAGAGGTTTAGATCAAAGGGTATAAATAAAACTGAATATTTTCTTACAGGAGTGGCAGAAACTCAACTATGATATCTATACACTGCGGCAGATGCGAAGGGAAGTGAGAAACAGATGGAAGCACATTTTAGAAGATTTGGGTAAGTCTGAAAGACTTTGTAAGTAGTAAAAATAGTTGTGGTTATTACTCTTTTCACTTTTTTATAAAAAAAGTCTACTACTTTTTCATAAAAAGTTTGTCAGTAATTAATTAATTAAGGCTACCATGTACTTTTCTCAATCTTGCTTTTTTATATTCATGCATAAACATCTGATATTTCTGTTGTCACCAACCTCTGTCTTGAGAGGACACACTTCATGTCGCTCCTTGTGCCAGTCCATCTGTCCTAGGACAGGGTTAGCACAGGGCAGTGGAGTCATATGGGAGGTACTGTTTACTGTTTTACCACTGTACATGTATTGAATTAGATTGGGATGGTTGGTCAGTCAATAGTAGCTTTAGAGATGAGGAGGGTTGGGAGAAATGTTATTTGTGACAGTCAGCAAGACAGTACGAAATTTCAGAAGAGGTAAAAAGAAGAAATATTTTAAGGATGAGAAAATTACCTGTGGCACTAAAGTAGATGTTAGGTAATATTTTTTCTACATTCTGCTGGAGTTGTGATGTAATCACCAAGGCCCCACATCAGAATAACTTTGTTTTAATAATTAAAAAGCAAATTTATCAATTTTGAAAGCCTTGATCCTTCTGCTCTGAACATGATGCCCAGCACCATAACTTTTCAAAAGTGGGGTGCCAAATTGCTAGCCTCGGGGCTGGGGATTTAGCTTAGCAGCAAAAGCGCCTGCCTGGCAAGCGCAAGGTCGTGAGTTCGGTTCCGGGTACCAGAGAAAAACCAAAAAAAAAAAAAAAAAAAAAACCAAAACAAATTGCTAGCCTCTGTTGCTTTAGTTGGGGTACAGTGAAGTGAGGTGAACTTCTGCCCCCTGAACTCACCCAATGTCACTGTGAGTTAGTCTCCTTTTGTGTTACAAGGTAAGTTACCGAGGCAGGTTTATGTCTTTTCTCGTTTGGCCAAATAATTCTAAGCTGCCAGGCATAGAGTCCATTATGCTTGGAGCAGGAGGAGTCTGCAGGCGACCACTTTGCAGGTTGGATGGCAGGTAGGAATTCTGGGGACAGGAGCGGGTGGTGAAGAGTAAGGAACGGTAGGGAAGAGGGTTTCATACTAAACAAAGGGCAGCAGGCAGGCAGTGGCTGAGTGTATGAGGTGTAACTCGGAGAAAATGCTAACAAGGAAGTCAGCAAGAAGAAACATTGAAAGAGTTTTAATTCAAGACTCTGCCAGTCACCCTGTGCTGGGAAGCAGCACACGGAAGACTGCCCCTGGCTTCAGTTTTCCGATGTCTGTGCAGATTCTGTGTTTGGGCCCCCTTTTTATATCTGGTGGGGACCGGGATTATAGGACGGTCATTTATTTCCTAGTGACTGCTTCACGCGAAGGATACATTTTTCTACCTTAGGTTTTCAAAAGGAAGTGGATTCTTTGTTGTCAGTGACGAAACTTAGCACCATGAGTGATTCTAAAAACACGAGGAAAGCACGAGAGATGTTGTTAAAACTGGCTGAAGAGACCAGTATTTTTCCAGCCAGTTGGGAGCTCTCAGAGAGATATCTTTTTGTTGTGGTAAGTGGATACCTTTCTTTATCTGCCCTGGTTTTGTTTTAGATTTTTGCCTTTCCTGTTATTCTAAATACTGCATTCTAACACCACTCACAGAATCAAAAGACAAGGTGGCAGATGGTCCCGCCGTGATATGAACTGCTTTTCATTGGCCAGCAACACTAGAAGCACCTGAAAATCTTTGAAAATCAAAATGTCTTGATCACCCCTAAAGCCTTTTGGGCTTGGGTTGTGCCTTAAGCATGTGTGTTTTTCAGCTGGTTCTGCTGTGCAGTCAGGGTTTTGAATCATTTGTAGGTCAAAGAAGTGTGAGAAATATTGTTTATTTCACCTCAGATTGAAAAGTAATTTGAAAAGACTCTAGCATGGGTGGAGTGTTTTTTGGTAATGTAAATAAAGGGTTAAGATGTGTCTCTGAATTTATTAAGAAAAGTTTAAAAAATGTTTCACTTGCTTGTCATTATTTCTAAGATAGGTTTTATTTTTGTTAGATTGATTTTCCCTTCCATCTGACTTGGTGTCTAATATGTCAGTCTCTCTCTCTCTTTCTTGCAGGACCGACTCATTGCTCTTGATGCTGCAGAAGAGTTCTTTAAAATTGCCAGTCGAACTTACCCCAGGAAACCTGGGGTCCCATGCCTGGCAGATGGCCAGAAAAAACAACCCTACCTTCCATTTCCAAGTCCCTAAAGGACAAGCTCAAAAGTAGAATGGGAGTTCTTCCACTGGGACTCAACAGCTGACCAAAATTGGAAGACTGCATATAGAAGAGAGTGAGCAAATAGAGGGCTTGCTAAATGAGAAATGATTCTGAGCTCTACAAAGATATAAGGTCTTCCTGAGGACCTTATTCTATGAAATGTTCCTGTTGTATTGAAACACCCTGATGCTCTTGCATCTAGAAAGTTAAAGAGTTGCTGGGGCTGGGGATTTAGCTCAGCGGCAAAAGCGCCT